ATATATTAGATTAGAAAGAATATTAGATATTATTTAGATATCTAAAATAGTTTTAATACAGTCTTTGGAGTCAATAACAGTAATGACTGTAAATTCAAATTGACTGCAATAATTTTAATTTATGGTTGACATAAGGTGGGCTTCGTGCTTATTATATTTTTGAATTCATGATCGATACATTTTAAACACATTCCTTAATTAGTTTAAAAAAGAAAAACTAAATACCCTAAATAAGGCTTCTAATTTAGCTGTAAAATTGATTTATAAACTAGTAGTAAAACAGTTATTTAAAACCTCAGGCAACTTTTTCAAAAACTTTCCTAATTTTATGGAATTTTCTAAAAATTGGAAAAAATTTCAGTTCAGTTGACAGCTATGGTATTTATTAAAATACTTTGTGATTAAAAATAAATTATTTAAACAATTTTTTTCCCCTACAAACTGCAAAACACTACATTTTAGTCTAGAAAACTACATTGTCAAGAGACTAAAATTTATGAAAGATTAAGGCGATCCTTATAATGATTGAACTATGCTCATGTCTTTTTACATATCGTAAAATGTTATAATTTTACATGACTGTTTTCTTTATAATGTATATTTAGTTACTTTAAATGAAACTAATAAACATCAAAACTGGGGAGAGAATAACATACTACATATCCAGCAAACAAATATTGCAATTATTCGGCAGAAGATTTGGGCTGCAGGCTTAGGCCAATAAAAAATTAGGATATTTTTTCAGACTACTTTTGCAAGCAAGAAACTGATTAAAGTATAATTTGCTTTATTTAAGTATAATAAAAGCAAACCTTATCACCAAGAAATAATAAAATTCACTATTTTTAATTCATTATTTTAAATTCCTTAATTTCAGAATTAATTTTTAAAAATTTCAGGTATAATTTAATCAATTGCTGAATAACTCATAATAGCTTAAAATTCATGCATGGGAAATTTTGTAAAACTGTTGCATTAAAAAAACAAAAAAAAAACAGAGTTAATTAGTTAATATTCCCTCATTATAATTAAAATTTTTAATTGAGTTCAAGATTTTCTTGATCAAATAATTTTGAAGTTGGGTTTCAAAAATCTAAAAATGAAAACAGAATGATTATGTGACTTGCCACTTAACAATTATGTACAAAAATAAATAAACATGCACTTTTGTTATTTTGAAACCAGCATTTCTTCAGCACTTTTTGGCAGAATGAAATTGTGCTTTTTTTTTATACATAAATTAGCCCGAGAACAACTGTCTCATTCATATATACATACTGCTGGCTTAAGAAAGTTACTTTTATCAATTGTTTTGATAATATAAGAATAGAAAGAATCATAAAAGAACAAAGAACTATGCATTAACTATCATTATATAAAATGAAATGATAGCACAACATAAATAATGATTTAAAATAAGAAAAACAGTCACATTTAAATATTGAGAGATGAAAATTATCAAAAAAAGGAATAACTGATTATTATTAAAAAAAAAAAAATAGTTCTCAAAAAAGAAAACACACACTGCCTGGAAAAGTATGCATTCTTAGGATCAATAGGCCAGAATTTGAACAAGTTGACAATTACTAGGCATTGTCAAATTTATATGTGTATATAAAGCTAATAAACACAATGAAAAACTTGAATATTTCATTAAATAGTTTGGCTGTTTAGAAAAGTTTCACTGCATCAAAAGAATCAACGTCTTTACAAGCATTATAAGAAATTTGAGTTGACATTATTTAAGAAGACTGTTAAGATACTCTCATAAAACATAGCAGTCAACAGTAAAAAAAAATTCAAACAGATATTACAAATAGCATAAATATCATGCTATCTAAAATATTTAAGAAACAAGAACTTTCTAAAGATTTTCATAATCAATAAAACAACACTATACTGGTGACAATAAGTTTGAATGGAAAGCAGCATTTTTCTAGGAGTAGTAATAAATGGATTTTGAGTGGTATAAAATGTTTTGTTGTCTATATTATAATTTGGGAATTCGTCAATTTTGAATAGCAGTAGTCATTCATTGCATATCACCGAGTATACCTCGACCCCCAATTTTTGATAACGAAATATTAAAGTTTTGATATGTCGGGTGCATAAGTCAGTCGATGAAAAAACAAATATAAAAATTTTTAAAATTAAAATACATTATGTATTTTAAACTGTTTTTATTTATCACAGCTATTTCAATTTAAAATTTTTCTAAGGTAACACCCAAACAGAAAATTTTTGAAATTTGCATATCTTATTAAATCAGATTGCAACATCATTCATCTTATAATCTTTAATTATTATTATTTTTTTAAATAGAAAAAAAAGGAATTTCATATATTACTCAGTTCTATGAGGAATCTAAAAAGAAACGCCATACCTCTGATCATTTTGCAGACACCGGTATAGAGCAGAGCAAGTTAAATATCTGATAGAGTATATTAGTTGATTCGTAGCACCCATGCAAAATATTTTTCAACACAGAATAAGGTAAATTTCAGTACTGACTTAATGCTTTGATTAAACAACAAAGCTCGAATAGAAAAACGCAGTAATTTCTCGTTTATGGCCGGTTAATAATTAAAAGTTGCAATTAGTTTTTTCTGGTCTGTTCAAACAAGAAAAATTTAAAATCAGACATACGTTTGACTACTTTTCATTATTTTTAGATAAAACTAAACTAAAAATTACCAATGTTCAAAATATTGATCTACTAACAGACTTCTAGTTTCAGTTATAGTAAAAGAAAGCTTTATTCTTTTTTAAAAAATATTTCTCCCCCTAATTATATGTGAATATTTTTATGACTACTTAAGTCTTATTTATATATTTATAAAATAAAATTTCTTATTATACATTGTTTCCAAAATTTGCTAAGAGCTTGTCATATAAAATTCTCCAAATATAATGAAATGCAGTTCCCAAAAGAGTTAACATAGCAGTTTGTCACTCAAAGCGAGTTCATATCTTTATATCGATCAACGACTTTATATCAATTCTCATAACATCTTTTACAATGAAACCCTTAAGAGGCTTCTTTCCATATCATTTTGGATTTTAGGTTCAATACATATATATTTTTTTGGATGAATTTTTGTCCTTGACGGACTTATGATGGAACGGTATCATTCGACAGCTCTGATAACTTTTAAAAAAACTTTTTAAAAAAAAGTGCCACTATGAGAGATTTTGAAAAACATCATATGATAGCTTTTAAAATTAAGGATTTTTTTTTTCAATTATGTAAGCTAATCAAATTATGTAGTAAGTCATTTCTGATAGATAAATTCATATTGTTCTTTACTCTCTTTTTAGATATTTTAAAATTTGCTTTTATTTTTTTATTTAAACTGATGAAAACGAATTTGTGTGCCATTGAAAAATTACGCAAAAACAAAAGATGTTAATCAAAATTCTTAAAGCAGGAGAATCTATCTTTCAAAAAATGCTGGTTGTAGAATTGTATTTTGGTAATTTTATTAGAAAAAAAAAACATCAGAAAATTTCTAGTCCTTATCTCAAATTCTAAATATCTTTATCTCAAACTCTAATTAGGTGATGACTTTGATTTTAAATGTGTGTTCGAAAGATTCTGCCGAAAAAATATCCAACAACAATTTATTATTGGAAAGTAAATAAAAATTATTAAAAGCCTATTTAAAATTCTATCCCTTTTCTCCACCCTTTAGACAGTTGCGAGGAAAGAGGCCTTTTAATCAATATCTAAATGTCTTTTTCTCCGTATTTTTAGGGGGATAAAAAATTTAAGAAAAAACAATTAGGTTCCAACAGCTTATGTAAAATATCATATCTTTACATCAAAGTAGCAATATTTTTAAAAATATATTTACTATAAAGTTTCTTTTAACACATAACATAAATAAGACTTTTTTTAAAATTTTTTTTCCAACTGTTTGAACTTTTGTACTTTAAAAAAAAAAATTTAGAAAGATGAAGGGTATCCAGTATACTTAACAAATTAAAGGCTTTTCAATAGATGTGGTATAATAGTAGTACATTATTTGAATAATTTCTACTAAAATGCTATCACAGTTTATCCATTAGATTAACACTTATACAATATTAAAAATGTCAAAAAACATTACAAATTTAAATACATATACAGAGGTGATTGTGAGCCCAACTCAAAAGTCCTGAAACTTTCTTGAATAAAATCTGGTCTTGAATTAATGTCTTTATAAATTAAAATCACTGATATTTTCAAAACATAAAACTCTAATGAAATTATATGCAGCATAATTTAAAAGAATAATTGTTTATAAGTTTACTTTTATCTCTAACCGCATTTATTATTCTAGCAACAAAAAAAAAAGAACAATATTTATAAATGAAAGAGATGTCAAGTACAAATTATAGTTCTAATATTTTTAAATAAAATATACAAGAATTTCTATACATAAATGTGATTATAAAATCAGTATAATAATGTAATCAGTATAATAATATACATAAATGTGTGTGATGTCAATGATTTCTTGAAATTTCTGCATCTTGGATTTCCAGAAACTTCTTGATTGCTGTTAGTGAGAAGAAGAAAAAAAACGGAAATACGGATTTTTTACGGATCACAATCATCTTTGTATATATATGTGTATTGATTCTTAATGCAAAATAATAATTATAATAATAATAGTAAATAAACATAATTTTTAAAAAGAAATCTTAACAGGAAGTTTTTGCTAAGTTTGAAAATGAAGCATTAAAAATATACAATAAAATACATAGTATATATAATACGTACATCATATATGTTGTATGCATATAATATATGCAATATAAAAAAAAAGTAGATGGAATATTGTAACATTCGTAAACAACTTTGAAAAACAAACAGTTGATAAAAATTCATGCAAACATAAAAAAGTTACTGAGACCTGTGCACTTACTGATTTTATAAATAATATGCATTATGCAATTAAAGTGTTTGACAATTTTTACAACAAAGAATGAATAAAATTTTCTTACCAGTTTTAAAAAAAAAAAAGAAAAACTGTGTATATATAGTCACTTGCTTAGAGGTGGCTAAGAATTTTGCATTTAACCCCATTCTTTTAAAATAGTTTCTTGCATGCTATTGCCTGGTGATCATTTTGATGCAGTAACCCTTCCGACAGATTAAAAGTAGAAGCCCTGACGTAAAAGCTAAATTATTGTACAATAATTAATACAAAATAGACCAAAAACCCATCTCCCAGCACAAAAACATTTTTACAACATTTCTTACATGAACTAATCATATTTACAAATATTTGGACGAGACACATTGTGACAAACATATAATAAGGACTAAAATGCTTTTTTCAGATGATGACTTTGTAAAAAATTCATGCTTTACATTTCTTTTACTCCTAAAATACGGGCTGCATTGTCGGGAGAAACCAACATTTCGTCAATCGTCTTGGAATCGGAGATGCCGAGTAGATTTTGAATTAAATCGGAATCTTCTTCCGACGTCGCCTCCGCTTTCGAGCCGACATTTCGCGGGGATTTCGTCTGAGTGGAGGTGTTGGCTGTTTTTGAAAAGATGTACAGGAGAGAATTTTTCACTTTATTTTTGATCACCCGGGCTTTTTTAGGAGGGTTCGGGTCGGGCGTTCGGCCGATCGGATTTTTGTTAGGAATCGTTTGAGGGTCGTCTTTCTCTTTCAACAAATGGGTTTTGAAGTGTTTTTGCAGGTGTTCTACAGACGCCATCTTTTGAAAACATATCATGCACGCGACGGAAGAAACATTCTTGTCGGCTACGGCGCGGTTCTCTTCGACGTGCGCGTCCTCGCCGCTGCCCGGGAGGACGTCTTCGTTCAAGTTCAGTTTCAAATATACTAAGGAATGTGAAGTTTTAAAATGAGTATAGCACATTTGATGGTTTGGAAATGTTTTGCGACATAGATAGCAAACGTAAATAATCCCGCTGTGTTGACGCATGTGCGAGCTCAAATCGTTTGCACTGCCGAAGCTATTATCACAAAAGTTGCAAGGGAGAAGGCCTTTTCTATTGGGTTGGCTGTAGCTGTGCTCCTGGGCGGTGACATCCGATTCGGCGTTCTTCCTCTCGACATGCGGCGGCTTACAGTTCATGCCCAGATAACTCTTCGTCCAGTGCTTGAGATAAAAGTGCTTTCGAAGGTTGCCCTGGGTAGAGAAAGTGCTGGTCAAGCAGTGGTTGCACTTATAAGGACGATCCGGCACACTGCGTGTTATCAAATCGCCCTTGTGTCCGTGCTTGCGAATCAAGTGTCGTTCACAATTGGATTTTGTAGTGAACCACAGAGAACATTTGGGACACTTAAACGGTTTCTGACCGGTGTGAGTCAGTATGTGACGTCGGAGAGAACTCGTCCACGGAAATTGCCTATCGCAGAACGGACAAGACACTGGGGGTGTGTCCGACTTCTTGAAGGTGCTGGCTTCTTCGTTCTTGTCTTTCTTCACTTCTTTATCCACAATGTCCACTTTCTCACTATCCGACTGCTTCCCCAATAGTTGTGTAAATTGAGGCGAATTTGCGGTGCATATGACAGACGACACGCTCGCCAAGTCAGAACAGGGTTCGTCGCTGCTCTCCGTCGTTTTGACTACACCCGATGCATTGATCAGAGTTATTTTTTCAGGCTTGCCACTTAAATCCAATGACAAATTCAATACAGAAGTACTTGAAGTAGGTACTTGATTGACAGGTGTTATGATGCTGTGGGTGGGACCGACTATCTTGAAGGCATTTGTGACATTGGGAAAAGGTACATCCGGATGGAAATTTCTGTAAACTGGCACTTGCTGTACTTTTGTATTCAATACGTGATGTCTCAAGGCGTTCCTCGTCTCATCCGATAACGTGGAAATGTTCTGCTTCTGCATGTTCGGGGTGACTATACTTGGAATGAAGTTCCTGCTGCGAGTCGGCCTGGCAAACTCGGGGTGCTTTCTCTTGATGTGTCTCTCCATATTGGATTTCAATGTGAATCCAGCATTGCAGTAGATGCATGTAAATGATCTGTGTTTTTGGCCTGGCGTAGGAGGGGAGATATCAATTTTGGTCTTTGAGCTGGCATTTAAGGGCAGAGGAGATATCTGCGTGTCAGCAGCAGGAGGAGTTTTAGTTTGCGATAAATCCAAGGACTCGTTAGGAAATGGAATGTGAGGAGCACTATTAAATATACTGCTTGGCTTAGACTCTGACTTCCTAGTGACGGCAGAGAGGGGTTTGCACGAGAGGTCAATGGCGTGAGCAGCTAGATCGAGAGGTACTTCTTGAAGAGGAGGGGCCTCGGACAAGGAAACTAAGCCCTCGGCAGCGATGACCGTCTCGTCGTTGGAAAGTTTATCTGTTTGCAGGTCCAGTGGCTTCTCGGGATTCTCGCAGCAATGCAAATCTAGAGGCTGCAGCTCTTGGTGATCACTAGAAGGCGGGTTGCCCACGGAAGAGTTCGAGTCGCTCATCGAATCTGGATGAACCGGTTGCGGCATCTGAGGATTCGGGATTACGACAGACCTCAGTTTGTCTTTCAAATTAGGATGTTGCTTCAGCACATGTCGAATGCAGTTATTCTTCGTCGAAAAACCAAACTTGCAGATTTTACAACTGAAAGGTTTGCGATTGCAGCTGTTGTGCAAGGACCTCAAATGATGCCTCAACACTCGATTGAACTTGAAATCCACCCCGCAGTATTTACAAACAGTCTCAGAATTGCTGATATCAGCAGTAGAAGGATCCGATGTCCTGAGCGACATATTTGGGTTGTACTGCATCGCATTACGAATTTCAGCCTTCCCAAATTTTTTATGACGTTTTCGCACGTGTCGTTCGCAATTAGCTTTCGTAGTGAAAGCATACTTACAGATGACACATTGGAATGGTCTTTCACCATTGTGTGTCCTGAGATGGCGTATGAGAGTGCTCTTGTCAACACTGACGTAAGAGCAGATGTGGCATGAATAATTGGATCCCCTTTGAACATGTAACTTGGTATGTCTCTTTAAAGCACTACTATTTTTAAATCTCTGAGAGCATATCTTACAAGAAAAAACACCGTGGGTCTCCATGATTGTATCGCTAACATCATACATAGATTGATTATCCATTGCAGATGGAATTTCCTCTTTGGACGGAGTTTCAGGACTTGCTGATGCTGATTCAGCAATAGGAGGTGACACTGGTTGGTGAGCAGAAACAAACATAGATGGTGAAATGGTACGCACTGCAATAGGTGAAGTTTGAGCAGGAGTCATTAAAGGGGCCTTGGACGTTACGGTGATTATAGACTGTATGTCGGCAAAGTCGTTATTGTTGTTGTTATTTGCAATCTTACTGGTTTCGATGTCACTTTTTAAATCTTTTTCTAAAACTTTTCCATGAACAAAGTAATCGTAGTTTTCAAAAGTATCTTCTTTGATGTGACAAGATCTTAAATTCTTCAACAATGATAAATGGGACTGTTTAGTCTGCAGATTCAGCAGGGCGAGAAAATCTTCCTTTCCGGCGGCGGCCATTTTGTTGAACGGCGCCTTCAAATCAGCCACCATTTCACTTTGAAAGGCCGCGTTGAAACAGTGCTCGACAGATCGATGCTTCAACTGATGCAGTTGGAGGTAAGGGGAGGCGGGAAAATCACAATGGCAACTGGGACAAAAAGTTCCGATTTCAGTCTCGTGAACTTTCTCGTGCAACTTCAAAGCTCTGCCACAAGGAAACGCTTTGCTGCACTTCTGACATTCAAATTTGTGAAAGGCACTACTCGGACGTTTGATATTCTGCTCGCAATACGATTTCGAAACGAGTGAAAACTTATTAGACGTAAAATCCATGAAAGTCAAGTCTTGAAATCCACGAGGCAAATTGTAACATTTGATGGGCTGCTTGGAACCTAAAATATTGCATTTGTGATTGATATAAGCGCTGTAATTAGCAGATATGGTATCACATTTTTGACAAAGTATTGGATCGTTAGGATGGGTTTCCATGTGGCTTTGCAGGCCATATTTACAAAGAAATGTTTTTCCGCAGACCGGACAATGGATCTTTTTATCACTGTCCTGACATTCTGCCGGAATATCACATTTTATCACATCTTTTTTCCTGAGGTCTAACGACTTCTCGCTGTCACTCGTTTCGACATCGCCATGGGTACGCATGTGGCGATGCATGTTTCCGTTTGTCGTAAAAGACATATCACAGAGCTTACATTTAAAAGGCCTCTCTCCAGAGTGGATCAACATGTGTCGATCCAAAGAGCTTGCAGAGCTCAATGTTTTGTTGCATATCAGGCACTGGTGTGTTTGATTATTGGTGATGCTGTGCTGCTTCATGTGGGCGGTCAAAGCCGATCTCGTACCGACGTTCAGGTTGCAAGCTATGCAAAAGTTTTGAGATGAATTATCCTCCTGAAAAAATGAATTATCAATTATGAATTTTGTTGAAAAAATATTCATTTAAAACTTTGAATAATCCTACTAAAATAAAAAGATGAAAATGAATTAACACAAAAAGATTTTATTTAAAGTATTTCAAGATTGTCAGGATTCCTCTCCCATGCATTTGATTGACCCCTGGCCTGAGGGTCAGAGGGTGAGGGACACAGGAAGTCTCGCTCCCCTGGAGTGGGGGTGGAGTAAGTTGAAGCGAAGAACTTTTTTTCGTGCGAAAAAGGATTTTAAAATTTAGATTGAATGCGGAGTGACTGGATGCAGAGAGGCAGTAGAAGCAATAGAGCTTCGGAATTGTTATGTTATGTAGTTTATGTACCTGTTGATATTTAATTGTAAATATATAGATAATCAAGAATACTAAATTGAAATAGTATACATGTGTCCCTCACGATCAGGTCAGGGGTCAATCAAATGCATGGGAGATGAATCAGAACCCTGACAGAGATGATAAATAATCATCTTAAAAGAGGAAGATATATTAACATTATAACACATCAGAAAAATCTATTGAAAAAAATATATTAATTCGAAACAAAGTGAGAGAAAAAGATTTTTATATAAAATAAATAAATGTGGAATAAAAGAAAGATTCCTTCGCAAATAAATAAAACAACTCTTTTTTAACGAAACACCATTAAATATACAAAATCTTAAAGATGTTGAAATAGTATCAAAAGAAATATTTAAGAGATAATAAAGATAGTATAAAAGTATTCAAGGGATTAACACAATAAAAGTTTAACATGATCAAAAGCAAACCCAATATATACACCTTAAGATAAGTACTGTTACAATTTTTATGTATATATCATCAAAAAATAATTGTCATTTTATCGTTTTATGTATTTTCAATCGACAGAAACATCACTAGATATTAACATTAGAATACAAAGATCCAGACATTTTTTGTCTGCCATCAGCATAAAATTAAAAGAAGCTAATAATTTATAACATTTATTTCTCAACCCTACTATACAGGGGTGATTGTGAGCCCAACTAAAAAATTCCTGAAAATTTCTCGAGCAAAATAATCATTGATGATGCATTTCAAAAAATTTAATGTCTTCATAAATTTAAAGCACTGATATTTTCAAAACATGAAATTCTAAATAAATTATATTCAGTATAATTTAAATGAATAATTATGTATAAGTTTATTTTTTATCTCTAATCACATTTATTATTCTACCAGAAAAAATTATTTACAATTGTAAGAGATGCCAAGCATAAATTCTAGTTCCAATATTTTTAAATAAAATATGCAAGAATTTTTATATGTAAATGTGACTGATGATTTCTTGATACTTTAGGACCTTGGATATCCAGATCGAAAATCCAGATTTTTTTTCAGAGCACAATCATCTCTGACTATATTAACTCTGACTATATTAATCTGTTATTATTATATTTTGATTTAAACTATTCACAATTAAAGGTTTAAAACTTCAAGTGCTTTTTCCTTTAGTGCATTGCAATTACAAATGAAATAAAGATGTTTTGGTTTACAATTACTTAATCATTCAATAGTAAATAAATTTTGATAAAAATTACATTTACCTTTAGCGCAATTAAGGTAAAAATGTTTTTATACGACATAAGCAATTAAAATAATGCACACAAAATAACTTACGAAAATTATAAAATATTTTTGTTTGGATTGCACTATTGTTTATTCTTCTTTTTAATAAAGAAATATTTTCAATAATTTTATTAAAGAAAAGCTTTGCTGTAGAATAATTGTAAAATCATAATATTTTTCATAATAAGGAAATGTGTTTATAATATTTTAAGGGAGCAATACTTTAGGTTTTAAGCTTTTAACACTAAGCATACCATAACCGGTCAAATGCCGGTTAAGAACTTTTGCATCGAATATGCGCTTGTCATCTTGTCGGTTTTGCAGATTTGACTTCATGAATTACATACAGTTATTATTCTATTATTATTTTTTAATATTTTGTTTGTTTTGAATAATACTTTTCGTGTACCTATTTCTACCACAACCGATCATTTAACCGAGTGAAAAATTTATTGCTTTATAAGGTTATCGCATTAGAAACGACGATGTCATGCATTTTCAAAGTATTGCATTCGATGAGTTGAACATTCCTGCAAAGACTGTTGCGTTGTTAGTTCAATCAAAATAACTGTGAATTCAAATTTCAGGAGAGTACCTAAGATTTTAGATTGGCATTTTTGTGTCAGAAAAAGTGACAAAAACTAAATGTTTTGGTGAGTAGGTAGCTTATATTTTATTTAGATAGCTATACTTCCTTTCTAACTGTTAGTTTTTACATGGAAAAATGTCGAAACAATCGAGACAGCACAGGTTCTTAGAAGAAGTAATATTATTATGAGAATAATTATAATTATAATTCTTATAAATATAGGAAAAATTCCAATTATAGATATAATAATAATTAGAAGAAATATGTTTGCGGAAATTTTTTTAAAAGTTTATTTCTTTCCTAACATTCGTATTTCATACATTCAATCAAGAAACATAAAGTAAGGTCATTTGAGCAGCTATGGCAGAAATATGTATAGATTAAGTGTTGGTATGCTTAGTTTTAATTTTGAATAATAATAAAAATACAATAATAAAAGAAACTATGATTAATAATGATCGCAGGAAAATAACCATTATAATTTTAATTATTTTAAAGCTAAAGATGTCTCTTCATCGTATTTCAATGACAATTGAAAGACAATTGTTGAAAGAGAAGTCACTACAATTATCTCTTTATGATACGAACACGAAATTGTCTAGCTCAGGGGTTTCCAACTTACAGGTGGCGGGGGCCAAAATTAAAAACACCAGTCAAATGGCAGTCCGCAACTTTATCAAAATTTTAAAATAGGACTCTTTTACGTTTGAAGGAACATTAAATATTACTGTCAGATTTTTATCAAAATTTTTTTAATATTAAAAAGCAAAATAACAAGCATTACAAATTATGTTTGTTAGGCATCATTTTGAATCTTCTCTTAATCAGAAACTTAGTGTCGAGATTTTTTTCTTTTAAACTTAATTATGTGATAAATAAACTTTTTTTTCGACTTATTAATTATATTACATTCGACTTATTAATTTCGACTCAGAAATTACAGCAAAAAAAACAAAAGAAAAAAGAAATTCTTGAGCATCTGAAATTAATTTTTTTCTCTCTTTTCCGCTCATGCGATATTTAATTCAAGGAATTTAAATAAAAATAAATAATGTAAATAATTTTGTCTAAAATGAATGGTTTCAAAAAGTTAAATGAGAGAATTTTTTCGAGAAAATTTCTGATATGCGTATGCTAAATTACATTCACAAAATAAAAATAAAAACGAAATAAAACAAGAGCAACATACACGATTACTTTGTATTAGAATAAATATTTTCTTGGATGCAAAACCTGAGAAATAAAATTTTTTTGCACCGTTGCATAGTGGGCCAGCATTCAAGGTTTCATGGCCAAAATTAGTATTTCGATAAAATTTGTTTCAAAATTTTGGGTTTTTTATGTGCAGGTAAATTGAATTCATAGTTGAGGATTTTGAAATACACCAATAATACCCCACAAAACAAAATGGTGGCTGAATATGGATGCTGAAATATGGCTAGCAAAAATAAAAATAATAATATAGTACATTTAAATAATTAAATATAGCAATCAAAATATAATAATTTTCGTAATTTTATATTAGAAATCAAAAGCAAATTATATTTCCGAAGTAATATTACAAAATAAAGCGAATTAATTACAAAAAAACGCGAAAACATGAAAAAAATATATAATTTTCGTTTTTTCGTATATTTAGTCTACCTTTGCCATGCGGGCAAAATGGGGCAGATTTTTTCGAAAGAAGACAACAAAAAAAGTTTAGCTAATTACCACGTGGAACTGTTTGGAACTAAGTTTCGAAAGTCATTCAAACATTGTAAAATGTCAAATGATAAGATATACACTATAAGTTTGTCAAGAGTATAAACTAATCCAACACATTGAAAAATTTTACTATCATTTCAGACTAATTACTCTGATAAAAATGTAACAGTAAGGTAAAATTCCTATATATATTTCTGAAATAAAAATTTCAAAGTTACATTAAAAAAATTTTTTTTAAACATATTTTTCATTAGATTGTACTCTTGTTGGTCCAAAAAGTAAATTATAATGTTTGGAATGAGTAAGAATACTTAATTTGGGCTATATTAAAACTGCCTACACATATATTAGTTGAAAATTTAATTTTTGACTTTTGGCCAAAGATCGTGGTCTTCTGGCCCACAGTGCATAGGCATGTTAAATTTCACAGAAAAGAAGAAATTAGTTTTCTTCAAACGAAAGAAAAGTATTTTAAACCCATATAGATTTTTTACGCAAACAGTCCGCCAAAAAATGACAACTAATATATTTTAGTTCGCAGGTCACAAAAAAGGGTGTGTGGGCCGCCAGTTGGTAACCACTGGTCTAGCTTACCTCCATTTCTTCTTCCTCTTCTCGAGATAGATCTATTTGAAATTCTGATTCGCTGGTAGTATCATCATCAGAATAGCTGTTCAGTTCTGAGAGAGCATCATGTCGCTTATAATCTGTCCTTTTGTCAGGGGATGGAGGAGGTTTCTCGTCATCAGTACTTTCGTCTTCAAGCGCACACTCCCCGAGCGTCTTTTCTTCAGCATTTTCGATTCTTAATAATTCGCTATTATCACAAACAAATTTCTCAGATTCAGCAACTGATAGTAAATCTGAAAAAATAAATAAATGAATTAAAACAATATACAAATTGAGAAAAAATGAAAGTGAAAAAAATTTGTTTTTGCTTGATTTAAAAGAAAAAAAATCTGCTTTTTTTTAAATGTAACTTTTTAATACTTAAATAAACATCTAAAATTAGTACATTTTTAAAATATGCATATATTTTAAATAGAAATGATTGTAAACTTGAAAAATGTTCAAATAGGTTATCTACAGACTGTCATTGGAAACATGTTAATAAGTTTTTAAGACTGCAAAAGCCAACATGTAAATTTTCAGTAATAAAAACTTTCAGCAATAAAACTTGAGTTTTGCACTTTCAATTTATTAAAAATGCTTAGCATTTTAGTATATTTCTACAGAACTTTTTCTTCAATAAACCAACTTAAGCTTATATCCACCTAATTTATTATAAAAAACTATTTTTTTTAATTAGTTTTAATTTTTCTGTCTTTATTATATTTCTGTTGTCTTTATACAAGGTGTATAGCTAAATTTTGCAACAAAAAATAAGCACCTTTTAAGTACTTTTTAAGCACTTAAAAATATTTTAAAGCACTATATGCATTAACAAAGCACTATATACATTACAAAATGCAATTTAGACTTTACATGATCATGATATAAAATAACTAGTTTCTAACAAAGAACTCTTTTTCTTGATTATCTTAAAAATTATAAAATGATCAAGGAATTTTTCAGTTCGATATTAGAGAGTGAAAAATGAAGCCTGAAATTGAGAGTATCCTGTAAGATGCAGCTGAGTTGCACATGAGAATGCAATAATCTCACCAAACCCAACTCAGTAGACACACATGCTGACTCGCAAACATTTCATCAAACATGTAAAATGATTGGCGCTTCCATAAGCTATGGACCGATGGTACGCTGAAATGGATTGCTGTTGAATGAATTGTGAAAATGTTGGATAGAACAATGAAAAAAGTCTGCTTTTGCATAACATGTGCCAAAAATCAATGTGGTAAAAAAAAAATATCATTTTCGAAAAGGAAAAATTAAGCACTTTTTAAAAACACCCAATGAAAAGAACACCTTTAAAGGCTTTTAAAAAACGAAAATCAAAAATAAGCACCTTCAAGCAATTTTTAAAAAAGCTACGCACCATGTTATATTAACACAATTGAAGTTTGATATAACAACCCTAGAGGTCCAACTGAAAACAGACGTTGTAACTTGAGGTTGCTATATCAAGACTATATAAAATTAATTCAAATATTAACTTATATTTCATAAATGCTTACCTTATTTCGGCAAAAACATGCTACACTTTAAATAGAATTATGGAACTCACTAATACAAGTTTTTACGTCAATAAAGTAAAAGTATTATATAATATAGTGCATTAAAGTTCATAAATACATTTAAAATTTTCAAATGACGTTTTTTAAATATTGCATATAAACTTTAGCTGAGCTTTTTCTCGATTTTGAAATTTTGCTTCACGAGAATGATGTCTTGAAATTAGAACAGTTTGTTTTTCGAATTTCTCCTCTTCTCTCAAAATTTTGAAATTATATAAATTTTTTTGCTTACTTATCTTTGAATAATAGAAATATTCTTTTTTTCATTCCCAACATAAAATTAAATTTCTCCTCCAAACACTGTAATCATTGCCATAAACAGCAGAGTTATTATCTAAATTCCATTAAAAGTTTGAACTAGCTTATTAACTTTTTATTACAAAGCACAGCTGGAATTTTTTTTTCTTTTCCATCTATGGTTTTGTAATAGCTAAGCACAGCCAACAACTACGGTTTTTGCAAAATATTCCATGAAGTAATCGACAATTAAAAACTAAAGCTTTCAAAATTTTTGGTAATTTTGCAAACATTTTAAGGCCTTACTACAAGAGCTTGGGTAAAGTCATATTAACTTTTGCATCATTTACATGAAGTGGCCTGCCCAGTGGCAGAATCGTGGCGACACGCCAACTTTGGAGAAAAACATTTTAGAGTTCCTTGTAGAAAGACCTTTTATTTGAGAACCAGAGAAGTTTTTTCTTTTTTTTAATCTGCAGAATTTTTCAAAATTTTTTTTTTCTGTAGAACTTTTCCCCCCTTTCTGCAGAATTCAATTCAGTAAATGCCTTTCTCGCTTGCGATTTTTCTTTCAAACTTTTTTTTTTAGAATAAAAAAATTCTACAATTATTGGCTTTAGCTAGAATTTCAAATTGATATTATAAAAAGTAATTTCTAAATAGCAAAAATTTAAAAAAGGTTAACTATACAAATATTTTTTATTTAGATTTTTAAAAAAATTCTTACATTAATAATTAAAAAAATATATATACTGTTCTATTCTATACATGAAGGCTTTTTTTTTTTTTTTTTTAAGTGGNCTTTTTTTTTTTTTTTTTTAACAGAAATCATTTTTGTTACTTTAAATCTGTCACTGAAGTGATTTATAATATTAAAAATGTCTTTCATAAAGGTATAGTGTCAGAGAGAATTGTCGCAGAAAGCTCGAAAAAAATCTGCCACAGGGTGGGTGCGACCACTACAAGAAATTTCCTCAAAAAGCATAGTAAATTGGCACAGTTATCAGTATAGTAAGTTATTGATAAGTATGTAGCTCTGTGCGAAATTTTTTTTTTTTTTTTTGGTGGAAGAAATACCTTTTGAAGAAGGTGATGAAGTAATAGATTCAGAAGTTGTGGATGAATTCTTGTCGGGACTTGAATCAGTTGCCTTTTCCTTCTTAATTTCAGATATTTTCTTAACGTGCGTTGAACTTTTAAGCTTTCTCTTGATACCTTTTTTTAGCAAGAACTTTTTCTTTTTCTGTACATTTTTGGTTGATTTCAAGGACTGTGTTTTCGCTTTTGTTAGAAGAGAACCTAGAAGATAATTGAAAATTTTTGTTCTACTTTTGTTGTTGTATGGCATAGCTAAACAAGAATTGAAGGAAAAAAAATTTAAGTTTCAAGATATTGTATTCTTTAATAACAAGAATGCTAATAAAAGAATTTATAAGCTTATAACTCATTCTGGAATAACATTTGCAATATTTCACCAAAAATATATACACACACTCTGTGTGTGTGTATATATATGTATATATATATATATATATAAAGGTANCAAAAAAATCGACGCACCAAGAAGCAATCATCCGATTGCTTCTTGGTGCCAGATTACAGTGGTGCATGGCTCGATCAGGCTGGAATGATGCCGACTGGGGACGCATAGTCTTTAGCGACGAATCCCGCTTCCAACTGTGTCCTGATCATCATCGAAGTCGTGTTTGGAGACGCACAGGGCAGAGGGATTCTGCCTTCACTATTGCACTCCACACCGGTCCTCAACAAGGCATTATGGTCTGGGGTGCCATTTCCTTTGACATCCGGACCCCTATGGTCCTCATTAGAGCGGTACGTCGACGACATTCTAAGACCTGTTTTGCTACCGTTCCTTTTGCATCACCCTGGGCTGGTTTATCAGCAGACAATGCCAGACCACATACGACATGTGTTGCAAGCTTGTCAAACTCTTCCATGGCCTGCCAGATCACTCTCCCATTGAGCATGTCTGGGATATGATGGGAAGGCGATTGCATCTGGCACGGAATGTTGATGACCTCGTTCGACAATTGGATCGAATTCGGCAGGAAATACCGCACGAGACCATCCGGGAGCTTTATCGGTCTCTGCTACACCGTGTGGCAGCTTGTATCCAGGCTAGAGGCGAGTCAACACCTTATTGAACTTGTTACTGTAACTCTGCAATAAATNTAAATAATTGATTTCATCTACTCATTAGAATAAACTAATAAGAGCCAGAATATGACTCATGAAAATATATGAGTGAAGATTCAGTTAATATGTTATTCTGATAAAATGTTATTGACGAGATGTCTTTTTTTTATTTCTGAATAGTAAGAGCAGTTTTAAATGACAAAATTTGGATGCAATCGGTTACTTCGCAAACGAAAATTTAAAAATTCGATTTATAACTATTCTAATTTTGGCAACTACAAATTTCAAATTGATGTAAACACTTTTTATACCTAACAATCCGAAGCGTTTTCGACGATTCTCAAATAAAAAGTTTAAAAAATAATAATTAACTATAAGATATAATTAAAAATAATCTTTTAAATGAAATTTCCTTTGGGTAAACAAACTTTGAATTTGTGTGGCAAAAGTTTTAGATCTGTCAGCGAGGTATGGCGGAATAAATGAGAAAATTAATATTAAGGGACCACTTTTTTGACTACATTATTATGCTTCGGTGATAAAAGTATGTTTATTCAGAGATATCTTTATATATATATATATATACAGAGAGAGAGAGAGTGTGTGTGTGCGTCCAAAATTCATGGTACATACGTTAGGGATAAAAGAAAGCAATTAGACACGCATAAATTACCATACAATCCACGTTCTGAAAACAAAAAACAAAGTTGTTACCTTTCTAGTTCTGCCTTTTTTACCTACCTTTTTGTACAACTCTTTAAATATATTATTTTATGGAGAAGGATGTATACAATTATGTATGTATTTCTTTTTTTTTTTACCATATACAAAAATTCATTTAAAAATAAGTTCTAACTAAAAAAATCTAAACTACTAACAGTGAGCAGCTTAAAAATGCACTTTTTCACTATTCGAATTCCTCATATTGCAATGACATAGTATTAAAATACTGGGGTACTCTCCCATCCAGCATGTCTGGGATATGATGGGAAGGCGATTGCATCTGGCACGGAATGTTGATGACCTCGTGGAAATAAGTTGCGCAAACTGATGAAAAAACGGTGAAAAGTTATTTGGATTTACGATGTACAAAATTGCACCAAATAATGGTTATTTAAATGTACAATTAGAAACTCGCGTGTCCTAATAACATAGTTTTAAAGAAAAAGGAAGCGTCAAAATCAGGCGGAAAAATATCACAGTAATTGCAAAATAAATAAATAAAGTTGTGATCGCCTTATTACGCTCACTGGTTACATATTCGTCAAATGTGTGGCGTTTAACGGAGTCAATATTTTTGGATTGACTCCGTTAAACGCCACACCATTTCAAATCATGGGTTGCAAAAACTGTCTTCATGGATGTTTGTCGTCGGATTGACTTTCATATCTCCTGCCTATGTACGTGTTTCAATACTTTTCCTTCTTCAGTATTCATATTTATATTGAAATCGCCGTTAAGCCAGTCACTATACGTTAATAACTAAAAAAATATAAAAATACTTTAAATTATTATTATGTAAATACATTACAAATGTTTGCTACTGAAAATAAAAACTGCAGCGGTCGCCATAGCAACGCACGCAATGACGACGCATGCGCACTATTAACTATGACTCTTGAACACAGTTGAAAAGTGTGTGGACGCCATCAAATCCAAACCAAGACCCATTTTGTCAATAGGTAAAAAAAAATAAAAAAAGAAATTTAAATTTTCGACTTTTTTTTATTTTTTAAAATGTCTTTTTTATTGCGTTCAGAAGCTCAAGCGGATCGCACATCAACAGTCGCATGTAGCCCCACATGTAGGGCACCACTAATGTAAAATATACATTTAGAAAATGTGAATAGTTGCATTTAAAGTAGAACGATCGCACTATCCTAAGAATGTTCTCAAAGTTTGTAAACATCGGGAATCCTATTTCATTATTCTTTATGATTTCAACTTTATTGTAGTTTTAATTTTCCGAAAGAAATACATAAAATATTGACAAAAGAATTATTAAAATAAATAAAGAATAATGACGTCACGTGAAAATTATCACGACTCAATCAAAAAAAATCAACAATAGAACGATTAAAAACCATTTGCCGGTAAAGCGATAAACTTCTCAAAATTTGAAGCAGGCTCCAAAAGGTCATGAAACACATATTTTAAATAAGCGGATAGCTTACTGTTGTGGGGCAATATCGACAAAAAGTTTTGAAAAATAAAACAGTGTTAAAAATGGGTGAAAATCATGTCTGTGTTTGCATATTACAGGAGTTGATACATGTAAATCGTGAACAAAACAATAATCCAAAAAGCCATAAAAAGATGTTCAGCCAACTGATGTTCCTCAGCTCTCGCCCTTAAACCATCAAATCAAATAACCGTCTTTCCCCTTAGCACAAAAGATAAATTTTAAGAAAAAATGTATTCCACAAAAAAAAATATATATATATATATTTTAATAGTTTTGAATAATTGTACAAAAGTAGGAAAAATACACTGCGAAACAAAAGTGAACTCTTGGCATAACATATTTCTAATATTGCATTTATGCATAATAAATATATTCTACCCACAAACTTTCAAAAAACCCTTTGAACTTTAGAATGAAAGGTTCCGTTTTGGAGAGCCGTAGGAACATTATCACATCTTCTTTAGATAGTTTTCTTCATTTAAATTTATAAAATTTTATTTTAATATTATCAACTTGTACAAGTTTCCTAATTGGGTTTAGTACAAACATGCTTTTTTTTTTCTTTTTGGCAAAGTAACAGCATGATTGTTCAAATTTATTTTGAATTTTATACAAGGTTTTTGCATTATTTTTAATATTTTTGAATCGTGTTAAAAATAGTATAGTTTTGAATCGTGTTAAATTTAGCCTAATTTTTATAATAATTACTGTGTTAAAGTTGCGGAATTTTTGAAGATAGTGCTGCAGATTGACTCTGCAAATTCTACTAATGGGGTTACACTGATATTGTTGTAATAGGTACTTAATATACAAAAATTGTTGTTGTTGCTTCTAATGCCATTTGCCACACGGGCAAGCCTGCTTGAATATACAAAAGTAAGACCAGAAACTCAGACACCCGAAATGGAATAGAGCAAATAAAATTTCACATTCTTTTCAAATTTGTTTCGTATGTTATTCGGAAAATTCGTCTATATTTTTCTATTTTATATCTTTTAATTATTTTTTTTTAAACACAGTGTATCTGCTACATTTAAGATTTTTAAATCCATGATTTTTCATGAATAATTCCAAGAGAGTTTCATGACTTACCGAAGTTACTATTAATAACTTAATTATTAAAAACTTAAAAAAAACAGAGTAAAGAATGAGTTGAAGCAATAAATTAGCTAAAAAAAAAAATACAAAAGCAAATAACTTAATACAGTCAGATATGCGTAGTTATTTAAACCTGTTTTATTTCTTCTTAAAAGTAAGTGTAATATAAAGAGCCTTAACTACAATTTTAAATTGATCAAATAAAAAAATAAATAGATGAAAAGAATTCTGAAATCAAGAAAGTTTAAAAGATAATTCGCTCTAGAAATGATGTTCTTTCTTTCATTTTTTGAAAGAACACCCTAATTCTTAAGGAACGGGATAAAAACATTTTATATTTAAACAAAATATGACTATGAGAGGGGATTTTGTAACAAATTCAGATATTCGGAACACTGTGAAATTGGGAGAGGGGAAGGGAAATTCCATTTTTGAAATTAATTGGCAACCTAAATCCATGACTTTCCATGATTATTTTTATAACTTTATAGGGAGGCAGAATATCCTTCTCGACATTTTAAAATTATTCGCCTATAGCTAGATTTTGAAATTTCTCAAAAATAAAAAAAAATTGTCGACTACGGACACCGGTGTTTTGGGTGTTCAACTTACATTTTGTTTTGCTGCACAAACACTATAAAACTACGAAGGTGTGTAAAATAATGTACACGGAGTACAATAGAATAATAAAATTTGACATTCTATCATAAGTTCGAGAATTATTATCCTCAAATGTATAATAACGAAGCATCAGCAGCGGCTTCAAAGAATTATAAATAACATAGCTGCTAAATTATCCCATCAAATCTAAATTATCCCCCTAAGATTTTATATTTAGCAAGATTTATGCTTGATATTT